TTCTTAAATTTATATATGTTATCCAATCTAATATTCTACACCAATTTAGTATTTGTTTTACTGCATGGGATTTTCAAACTTTTATGAAGTCACCAAAAAAAAACACCTATTCTAAGTTTCAAGTGAAAACTACTCCCCACCCTGGATAAAGTAACTTGAATGCATGACTATGGCAATCATTTTGAAAGCGTTTTCAATCGGTGTACATAGCATTCAAACACCAATGCAGCACATTAGTGAGAAATCAACATTGTAAACTGACAAGCAAATTTGATCGCTAATGTGCTACATTGGTGTTTGAATGCTACATGTGCCAGTAGGAAACAAATTGAGTAAGATTTAGAACTGTATTAAAGTAAATTCGTAATACAAAATTGTAACATTTTTTTACATTTAAAACAGAATATTGATATACATTGTTTTTGCTGCAGACTAAACCTCTAGGTGTCATCTGGGGAAAGTTTGAAGAGTACAGTAGCAATAACACTATAATGTTTGATGATATCAGACGAAACTTTCTGATGAATCCCCAGAATGGACTCCGGGTAAGTTTATCCTGATTAATACGGAACAACCTTCAGGCATTCATCTGTATCCAGCCATATCAGACATTATATATTTATTTTAATATGTATTTATATTACGTATTATATGATTATTTATATTACTCAGTATATATTAATATTAATTTTAGATGAATCTCATAATATTCATTAACGCAAGGGGGTCGTCACCTGCACATGCAGTAAGCGACCAGAGCGTGCTGTTCATCTACCCATGAGCCTTCACGTTTTAGCTTGCAAAGTTATCATCGATTAGGACTAAATTTCTGTGACGAAGCTTCTGCTTTAAATATTATGGTATTAGGGTCTGGTTATGAGAACAACATAATTTTTATTTGTCCTGTATATTAAGAGATTTATCACAAGAATACCACAAAGTATGGATGAAGGTAGTACATTGATTGTAGCGGAGGTCAATGTGACCTTGTACTACTAGTGCCTGAGTGCAATATTTTGCTTGTGACAAGAAATTAACGATTCAAACAATCATATAATAATGTTAATTACACTGGAGTCAGTATCAAGTACAGTTTAAGTATAGCAATGAGACTGGAGTCAGTGTACAGTAGAGCCCGAGTTTGACAATGAGACTGGAGTCAGTGTAAAGTACAGCCTAAGTATAGCAATGAGACTGCAGTCAGTGTAGAGTACAGCCTAAGTATAGCAATGAGACTGAAGTCAGTGTAGAGTACAGCTAAAGTATAGCAATGAGACTGGAGTCAGTGTAGAGTACAGCTGAAGTATAGCATGAGACCGGAGTCAGTGTACAGTAGAGCCTGAGTTTGGCAATGAGACTGGAGTCAGTGTAGAGTAAAGCCTAAGTATAGCAATGAGACTGGAGTCAGTGTAGAGTAAAGCCTAAGTATAGCAATGAGACTTGAGTCAGTGTAGAGTAAAGCCTTGGTATAGCAATGAGATTGGAGTCAGTGTAGAGTAGAGTCTGATCGAGTATGGCAATGAGACCGGAGTCGTGTAGAGTAGAGCCTGAGTATAGTAATGAGACTGAAGTCAGTTAGAGTAAAGCCTTAGTACCG